CTACCACTGCACCTTCATATTATAATGTGATTAGCCTGTGTGTGCACATAGGTGTGTCCACAGCTTTGTTTGAGAATTCCAGAACAAAGAACATTCACAAGTCCCGACACTCCAGGTACTTTCTAGAACCACCTTTCTGAAACAAATCTATTCACCTCATTTCCCTGATTAAAATCTGAGTAGTTTTTCACCACCTTGGCAATCAAACCTCAAACCGTTAACGAGGAGGTTAGTGTTCTTCTAGATCTCAACCCTGCTTGTCCGGTCAGTCTTTACCTTATACGTTAAGTAAACTGAACGGCTTTGCTGTTGTTTGAAAGCTTTGATCCCCCTTTATCTGGTCTCTCTTCCATTACCCCTTTACCTGTGTAACTCTAACTCACCCTTTAAGTTTTATCTTAGATATTACTTCCCCTCGGGCAAAATCTCCCTTGACATGATCTCCTGCCCTTTTCTATGCTTCCCTAGCCTTTCCTCCTTTCCTCTAAGTCTCTGTGGATTTGTGTGGCCAGTCTTCTCCACTCCTGTCATTGCCTTGAGAACAGGGGCCTTGCCTTTTCTAGAAATGGATCCACAGTGAGCAAGATGCCCAACTGACACAAAATTCTTAGTGAGTAAATGGTGAATGAATAAAATCAGTCTAAATCATTATTTTAAAAGCTGCCATTATCTCCATTAAATTGCCCACAATTGACAATCCCTGACTTAAATTATATTTTTTCCACCTTTGTAAATATGATTAGCATTGTAATTTATAGAATTTAGTACTTGTTTATGTATGTCTTTGAAAATATTTTTATCAGACTTTTCTGTTTTCTCAGTTATATGGTAATCTCTGGAATTTTTTTAAATTATAGTTTTATTATTAGTTACAAATATAGTACTTGGGCTCATAACAAAAATAAAATTGCTTTACTCCCTAGATTGTAATTATTTTAAATGAATATAAATAGGATTTTATAAAATGCTTTTGAACCATTTGTAAAATGAATACTGTTGTTATTAGTGTTTTTTACTATCAATTTGCTTATTAATTTCTTTAAACTGATATAATGCCAAAATAACACAGAGCTCCTGTTAAGTTATAATTGGTAGAATTAGAAATAATATTTTTCTGTTGTTAATATCAGAATTTACTAAGTAAAAGAAAGCTTATTCAAGCATGGTTTGTGAAATTTCTCAGGGATGAGAACAATGATTTTGTGGGAAGAGATGAACAGTGTTGTGAAGGAACTGCTGTGTGAAAATGTTGAGGGGGATAGGAAATAAGGATTCTTGCATATTTGTGAGGAATACTTAAGAAAGCTTTCTGTTAGATATTCATACTGTTCATCCACATTGTGCAGTTTAATTTCCAGACATCAGATAGGAAAAGGAACTCATAATTGGGAAACAGATGGGCAGCAGAAGCTGCTGGAGGCTGTGACTGTGCCTCAGGGAGAGCTGAGTGCTGACTGAGGCTGGGCAGCACCCAGCACAGCAGGATTCACTCCAGACACTTAGGGTGAGCAGGTGCCTGCAGGAAACCTCTGGTCTACACTGCCACCACCACCATCAGCACCGCCGCCATCAACACCCCCGTCAACAATATCAATGACCAAAGACAAAACCTATCATGTGAGCTCCTTGGCTCCCTGTTTTCAAGTGTACTTCACAGGGAATCTACCAAAACAATACCCCTGTGGACAACTCCAATACAACTAAACAGTGAAAATTCTTTAAAATTTCCTGTAGCCATATTTTGACAAGTGACACATAGATGAAATTATTTAAATGTATAAGAGCCAGCCATTGCTTTATATATGGTTTTCAGGGGCTTTTTCTTTGGTAGCATTCCCTAACACCTTACTGCTGATAAGATTTCAGATATTGCATAAAACTTATAACTCTTCGAAGGTATTCACGGTGTAATATTGGTTGACTATTTTCTCTGTCACAGCCTGGTTCTCCTTAATTTTATGATTTCTTGGATTTAACAACAACTCTAATTTCTGGAATGGGGTCATCTACGGGAAGGAGGAGGGGCTTTGATCAATGGAAAAAGGGATTTAGGGCTCCACCCCATTGAGCTATATGACTTCAAAGTGTCTATATTCACAGACCAAGATTTACTCCTGTAATGTGCTCCTATGTGCTGGTAGGAAAAAGGGGAGGAGCTCACACTTTCTCTGCTTCTAGCACTGACATATGATACTTGCTTTTATAAACTGAGAATGATTTTTAAAAAAGCAATGCAAATAAACATTACAGAAGGCTTACTTCATACACTTTTAAAAATTGTAGATTTCTTGTTCACATACACACACACATGCACTCACATAATATTAAACTTTAGGGACAAAGACACTTTAAGTCTAAACTTCATGTCAGAAAACAATTCAATTTTTCAAGTTGTAAGTCAGTTTGATTCTAAAATATATACTTACAGGCAGAATTTCTTGAAAGCCTAACCGATTTTATTTTTATCCCTCTTTTCAGTATGACATGAACTACAGCTAAGGTCTTCAAACTGCTGTAAATGCAGTTATGATATGAATGTGAATATATTTAAATAATTAAATGAGGTCAAGCCTTTCTAAGTAGACTGAGCATATGAAAAGATAAATAAATCTTCTTTTCTTTTTAATCAATTGGACTGGCCATGATATTCAGTGATAGTGAGTAGAGAAAGACTTGTCAGAAAAATAGTCAGGACATTTACTGTGAGGAAACAGAGCTGAATTATCTTATTAAGTAATAGGTTTCCAACACTTTGATGGCTTCCTATAGTCCTCAGGCTAACAGTTCCTAGGCTGAAATTTATGCCCACACCCTTGTTTTCTGCCACACTTCTCTCTCTGCTCAAGGACTACTGTCTCTAAATTCCTTGAATGAGCCATGCTCATCACCATGTGTAGGATATCACCTGATGAATGCCTGCTCAACCTTTGGGTCTCAACTTAGACATCACTTAGGAAAGCCATCCCCAGCCACCCTCTCACTGCTCACACTCACATGCCTGCATACACTTCAGACTAAGTTGAATCCCCAAACTCCTTTTCCCCATTGTACTAGTAACTTCTTCTTCACCATTATAGCATCTGTAATTCTTGTTTTAGCATCTGTTTTACCCACAAGTCTGTAACACTAGTGGGGCAGAAGATAGCATGTCTCATTCTCAATCGAATCCTGAGCATAGCAGAGCATCTGGTAAACAGTGGGTGCTGGGTAAATGCAGAAGGAAGGAAGAAAGAGAGGGAGGGGAGATATATCTGTGCAAGACTGCAAAACCTCTATCCTAGTGGATTTAGAAGAAACATATAGACATTATCTGGTCTAGCTAATTAAACTACACTGTACCTCAAAGTCCCTTTAGTTCTGGATCATGTTAGGTCAGCTGTGCCTTCTGCACCCCTTGTGCTGTTGAAAACTACAGCTCCTGCATAGCTCACTGGGAGGACTCTGGAACAGAATTGCACCTCAGCCAAGTGGAGGACCCACTTATCTCGACTGATCTCAGGTAACCAGGAGTGAGCTACGGCCTACGGCCAGTCATATGTATTTGACCCATCTTCTTTCTCTGTGAGAAGCAAGTGATAAAACACTTTCTCTGGTTGAGATTAAATGGTTATGTTCCAAAAACTGCAGAGCACAACTCTGTGGGTAGAGAAATAAATCCACCTCTTTGATCAAGACAATCTTAATGTTCTCCAGCTTGATTGAACCTTAGACAAGTGTCTCCTGATTATGGACCCCTAACCTTCCATTTTCTGAGCATTTACTTAAAAAAGCATGACACTGCAAAGTCTTTCCCTGCTTCTTTGAGATGTTAATTTTCTCCCAGCATCTCACCAGTTTTACAGCAGAGTAATTTCTTTCTCTGGGACCTGGTAGCCATTCCTTGAAATGTAATCATCATGAGTGATAGCAATCCCCCATCCTCCAGTTTCTGTGGTAAGGTGGGAGCCTAACTGAGATGAGTGGTAATCATCAAGCACAGATGCCAAATCACACAGACCAAGCTCCCCACAATGTCCTCCATCACCTTCTCACTACCTCACCTCAACACTTAAAGACCCTTCCACCTCTTATTTCAGAAGAATTGAGCTTACAGTCTCCCGCCTATTGCAATGGTCTTGAATAAACTCTTCTTTGCCTGTTTAACTCTATCTGGGACAGTTTTTCTTGAAGGGATCACAGCCATGCACCTGCGGCTTGGCTTGGCTCATATGTACATTGGATTAAATTGGAGCTAAATCACTCAGGACTTGTGATCAATTTTTAAAAACTCGAACCCACTGAATAGATGTCAGTGAACTTCCATTTCGTGAGCAAGAGGATTCTTTTGGAAATGATATGCTTTTCCTTTAATGCTGTTATTTTGAAATAGCATCAGTGGGGGAGGCAGAAAGCATATGGTCACTTCTAAGCAATGCAAGTTTGAACAATGTCCAGGAGCAAAATCTGTGGTTGGCATGTTTCTGAGCTAAACCAATTTTCTACTTCATATAATTCAGCTCGTACAATGCTCTTGATTGCAACCTTGAAACCTTGATGACCTCTTATTGTGAAGTCCTTGAGTGCCTGGATTTTCTTTTCTTCTGGTTTGGACAGCGACCAATGGGGTTTATGGTCTGGTTGTAAAGAGCATGGGGCTTGGGCGCCAGATTGCCTGGATCCGTATCCTGGATCCACCAGGACTTCAACAATACAGTTGCTGAACATCTTGTGACTCTGTAAAAGTGAGTAACATAGAATCTAGTATGTGTTCAATAAATGTCAGTGCTTATAATTATTAGTAATCATCTTTATCATCACTTTCACTACTGTTAAAAACAAACAGGACATTATGATTTCACAACTTTCCAGTCTCCACCAAAGAAAAAAAATTGCTGGGTTGCAATGTTGGCTTAAAATAGACTTTCAGCCTCTCTGAATTGCTTCATTTGTCCACAACTCTGAGCTCTATTTGTGAGACATTTGTCTTTCTCTCTCCCCACCCCAACCCTTGAATTTTTTAGTGATGGATGGGCAGACAGAGATGAAGTCATTGAAGGTTATGAGGTGGAAGCCAACGGGGGAATCACGATAAAGCTGCAGTCTCCAGAGGTCAGGTCATTTGATGATTATTTCCTGAAGTTGAGGCTGGACACTAACACGAGGAATCCCTGGTTCCCTGAGTTTTGGCAACATCGGTTCCAGTGCCGCCTACCAGGACACATTCTGGAAAATCCCAACTTTAAAAGAATCTGCACAGGTAACTTGTGTTCACAAAATAACAATTCAGAGGGTACAACTCCAGCCTCTTACAGCTTGTGGAATGACAGTAGAAGGTGCTAGGGCTGGAGATCCAAAGACTAACTTGCCATCTTAATTTATAGAAGAGCTACAGTGAGGAGGGAAGTGTATTGCCCAGAGATTCATGTTTCTAAATTCTGGAATGAATGCTTTGGTCTCTGGTGGAGCAGGTTGTAAAAAGAGATATTGTGAGTAAAGGAAATGGAATATGAGAATTCAGGTACTAAGTATTCCAGCCATATGGAAGAGATTTTATTGCAGGCCTGCCTAGGAGATGTGAGCTACCGACTTGTTTGATCAGTCTATAAGCAGCCCTGGTTTGATCTCTTTCTTCTTTATGACTTGCTTCAGTACACAGGTCAGGAGAAGATAACATCACCCAGGGCCACACCACCACCAAGGGTGTATGTAGGCGTAGGAGGCAAGAAACTCTGCCCTCACATCTGTAAACGGGAGTTCCCCTGGGACAGATGCTTCCCGTGCACTGCTCCCTAGAGGCATGCCAGGGAAGGGCAGCCTATTCCAGGTCTTTCAAACTCCACTGGGTGTCCTCCCAACCTCCCAGGAACTACTAATACCCAGACTCCTTAACAAAGTAACTTTTATGAGTATTATCATTATTGCACAGAGACATCGCTGCCCCTGTCCTTTTGCAGTATAGTCTAACAGGACAAAGTACATCACCTTTGGTCTACCATAGTGCTGTTCAAAGCCAGGTGTCCATTTTGGGTTGATGACAGCATCGTGGACAGGCATTAAAGACTCTATGCGTGACTAAATTTGTATTGTAGCACAGTGGTGTGACATGTGTTTTCTGTAATATTCTGAGCAGATATTATTAAAAAGGCCTATAAGCCATTCATTCAGACAATATTCTTAAAAAGTGGGAGGCAGATAAGCATATGATCCATGACTCTCTACCCAGAGAAACTTATAGTCTCCTTCTGCAAATCAAAATAGATCATACACATGATACAGATAAATAACAATCACAGACAGACTTTTTCTAAAACAGGGTAAGAATATGGTAGATTACATAGAATATTTCTTGTTTTAATAATATTTGCATTTTGATTTTAGAAAACTCTTTTAAATACCAATATATTTGAATGCGTTGTTCTATGTGTGACTTGGTAAGATTCAGCAGTTTGCTGAGAAATTGCCTGGTGTGGATGTATATTCAGTCAATCTTTAGAACTTCCTTGCTGTGACTTCTTGGGAGGCTGAGGGCCAGGAGGAAGAGAAGAGAAGTGCCAAATAGCTAATCTCTGTCCCATGAATGAGGTAGGAAACCCCTGGGGGGTTTGAGTACAGCAGACACAAGATTTATCTTACCTTCTCTAGACAGCATCCCTCTTGCTGCAGTTTTTAAGTTTGGACAGAGCGGGGAGGGACATAAGCAGAGCAGTAAGGAAGCTGGTGTAATAATGCAGGTGGGTGTGGTGGACTGGTTGGGTCCCGGTAGGAGCAAGCAAGGTGGAGAAAAGTGATTGAATTTTGAGCATATTTTTAATAAGAACCAAGGGGATTTGCTGACAGAATTGTGAAGAATGACTTTATTCTGAGCAACTCTTAAGATGGTGATGCCAGTGACTGAGATGGGGAAGGCTGCAGGAAAAGCAGGTGGGGAAAGGGTCAGTCGCTAGATTTCAGATGAGTCAAGTTTAAGATGCCAATTAGTGATGCCAGCTATATATGTCACTTTGTCATTGTGTTTCATTAGTAAAATTAAAAATTCTATACCTCTTAAATGGGCGTGGATGTCTTTATATGAGGATTTCCAGGAAAATGTCTTATGACCTAAGCTTTCAAAATGAGTTAGAACTTTGCAGCCATGTACAATAATATTTTGGTTTTCAATTGTCACAGTACACGCGAATGTTGAGGTTAAAGTCTGAACTTGGTTAACATTTTTAGCAGGAAACAAAAATTTGCACATTCTTGAATTGTTCTTATATCATGCTTAACTCTCAAAGATATTTTCAAGAGCTTCTTATGTGATTACAACCTTTAATAAACATGTTTATGTTTGCATTTCATTCTGGAGTCAAGTTCTAGAAATATTTCCCTTTGTTTTTAGTACTAAGGTAGGCAGACATCTTGTTTAACTTTTCTATTTGGAATTAATTCATAAAATGTATTGATCTTTCCTGCTGCAGAAACCTTAGAATTTTAACTTTGGCAGTGTTTTTCTATATTATCTTTGTGTGTGCACATTTATGTATACTTACTTTGTTTTCAGTTTGAATCTCTGCATTTCTATGAAATTGGTTTCAATGTTATTGAAGAACAACATAAACTTTCATTTCCTATATGCTTCTTATCTAGTTGAGGTTCTTGAATATCAAATGAATTCCATAGTCTTCTAATGAGTATGCAGGCATGTTTATGAAAATGAATGGAAACAGAATTAATGGAAAGCCTTACTATTGATGGCATTCTTTCTGTCACCTACTTTTGCATCTTCTAATTGGGTCATTTTGGTGTTTTGGAAAGTTTCGGTATTGCAGTTAGTTTCCACAGAAACCTTTGCTGAGCTTAATCTCAGATGTCACTATTAAATAAAGCATTTATGTGCACTAGATTGTCTGCTCAAATATTAAGGGTCCTGAGCCCAGGCTGGATAATGGGAATCACTGTAGCTAATTAAAAAGTACTTCATGCAAAGTCTCCATCAGTGCTTAATTACTTGACTACATCAAGGGAGTGGAGATGTGTTGGAAAAGCACTAACTGAAACATCAAAGCCCAGCTTCTACATAATGAATCACTCAGAGGACAGTGGAAAGAGTAGGTATAAGCAAATCAAAGTTACTCTCTCCCAGAACGTGTCTTAGTCACTCACAGCATTGTGTCATGTATGCAACGGTATAGTGCTTTATCATTCCTGGTGATAATTGCTAAAATGATTCCTTGGAAACTGAGAGAATATTCGGAAATGCAAACACTGGCTCAGTTAGGTATCTGTTACATAATGTGGAGGACCTCACTTAATCTCTGAGTCTCAAATTCTGCAACTGTAACATGGTAACAATTTCTACTTCACACAGGTGTGAGAATTGAATGAGATCATCCTCACACAAGTGAGATGCTTTGCAACCTATAAATCCTTACATAAATGTAGAGTATTATTATTAATATCATGTTTCACCAGAAAGCAAATAAGTTATCGCATATATAGATCATCTTATTAAAAATTATAGTTTTTTAATTTTTATTTTCTATTTTTTTAGTTTTTTTATTTTGGTAGCATAATCTATAGTCATATGAGGAACATTATGTTTACTAGACTTCTCCCATTACCAAGTGCCCCCCACATACCCCATTACAGTCACTGTCCATCAACGTAGTAAGATGTAGAATCACTACTTGTTTTCTCTGTGTTGTACAGCCCTTCCTGTGTCCCAACCCCCTACATTATGTCTCCTAATAGTAATATTCCTTTACTATTTTCCCTTTATCCCTCCCTTCCAACCCATCCTCCCCAGTCCCTTTCCCTTTGGTAACTGTTAGTCCATTCTTCGGTTCTGTGAGTCTGCTGCCATTTTGTTCCTTCATTTTTTTTCTTTGTTCTTATACTCCACAGATGGGTGAAATCATTTGATACTTGTCTTTTTCCGCCTGGCTTATTTCACTGAGCATAATACCCTCTAGCTCCATCCATGTTGTTGCAAACGGTAGGATTTGTTTTCTTCTTATGGCTGAATAATATTCCATTGTGTATATGTACCACATCTTCTTTATCCATTCATCTACTGATGGATACTTAGGTTGCTTCCATTTCTTGACTACTGTAAATAGTGCTGAGATAAACAGAGGGGTGCATCTGTCTTTTTAAAACTGGGCTGCTGCATTCTTAGGGTAAATTCTTAGGAGTGGAATTCCTGGGTCAAATGGTATTTCTATTTTGAGTTTTTTGAGGAACCTCCATATTGCTTTCCACAATGGTCGAATTAATTTACATTCCACCAGCAGTGTAGGAGGGTTCCCCTTTCTCCACAACCTCGCCAACATTTGTTGTTGTTTGTCTTTTGGATGGTGGCGATCCTTACTGGTGTGAGGTGATATCTCATTGTGGTTTTAATTTGCATTTCTCTGATGACTAACGATGTGGAGCATCTTTTCATGTGTCTGTTGGACATCTGAATTTCTTCTTTGGAGAAGTGTCTGTTCAGATCCTCTGCCCATTTTTTAATTGGATTATTTGCTTTTTGTTTGTTGAGGTGTGTGAGCTCTTTATATATTTTGGATGTCAACCCTTTATTGGATTCTGTCATTTATGAATATATTCTCCCATACTGTAGGATGCCTTTTTGTTCTATTGATGGTGTTCTTTGCTGTACAGAAGCTTTTCAGCTTGATATAGTCCCACTTGTTCATTTTTGCTTTTGTTTCCCTTGCCCGAGGAGATATGTTCATGAAGAAGTTGTTCATGTTTATGTCCAAGAGGTTTTTGCCTATGTTTTGTCTAA